AGGCAGGGCCTCCTTCAAAGTTAAACTCAGTTTGTAACTCAGGTGGCTCAGCTGCAAGTATTCCCAAGGCTGGAGATTTTACAGCAACCTGTTCTGGCGGTGCTCCGCTGGGGCTCACTCCAGAAGCAGATCCCTACATCATGACAATGTCTGGCTCCGACTAATGCGTGTTGCCATGTGGGATGCAATGAGCACTGGCAAGGAAGGAGATACCACCGTGCAATGACAATTTCTTTGCAAGGAGAAGAGATCAGAAAGCAATCCCACATGAGCAGGTATGAGAAGGAAAGCATCACTGTTTTAACCTGCGCTCAGCGCGACACTTCCTTAGGGCACTGCCCAAGGAGCTCCTGAAAACGGGCTGACTGAAGCTGTGTCCAGTTGGCTTGAGATATCAAAGTTGTTAGCTACACTGGGGCAGCAGACACAACTGCAACTTCTTCACTTCTTTACGCTGCACTGAGGTCTGTGCTCCCCTTTGGAAGTGGCTCTCCCTCCCTTCACTCCCTACAGAGAGCCAAAGGCAGCAAGTTTCCTAAGCCCCGACACCTCAGATGTGTGAAGATGGATGGGTTTAACATAGGCCTAAAATACTTTGCAGTTTCACGGTAGTTTCACAGCCCTGGCATTATCAAGTGATCTTTCAGTGTATTTGGAAGCCAGAGAATAACTTGAGATGGATTCTTTTTTCTTCGTGTATATGTGTACTTGCAAACTGCCTCTGCCTACACATCTTGCCTGCATGGATATGTGCATGGAGGAGTGGTGCTCGTGTGGATGCTCCGTCTGCTCCATTCCGCTCCTCACATCTGAGGCTGCTCAAAGCAGGTCCCCAAACCTGGGTGCTCACCATCAGACCTGCCCTCCGCACTGCATCCCCTGACCAGGCTAACTAGGAGCTTGAGGACAGGAAACAAGACAGTTTTTAATTCTGAACAAAAGCAGGAGATTAAGGAAACCAGCTGGAAACCTCTATTTTGCTGATTTTGAAAGCAAAATGTGGGTCACAGATGTGCTTCCACAGACAGAAATTGGCTGGACAAGAAAAGGCATCAGCAATGCCCAGGCTTTTTGATGATCAGAGGTAGATTTAGCTCCTAGGCATGCGGACAAGAAAGGAAGAGGAGACGAAGTAGGAATGAAAACATAATCAGGAGATTAGGAATGTGGAACTCAACCCACCCATAAATTTGCCTGAGGGAATGATGAAAAAATGCAGTAATGACCAATGATGAAACCCATGGCTACCTCTTACTCTCTTTCCCTCTCTTGCTGTCCTTGTTGTTTTACTTAATGCTGCACAAGACACATGAGGATCCTTGCAGAATTTCCCCTCTTCCTCTGTCACATTTTTTCTCTGCAAGAGTGCTATTTTCCATTTTTCCTTTGCAGTAGATACAAAAGCCCTGCTAAAAAGAGGCTGAATTTAGAGCCTAAAAGAAACAAAGCTTTGCAGTAACGTCCAGACTGTTAGGCAGAGCAGGTAACGACATGCTCATCTTTGACAGGAGAGAAGAGCTATTACTGAGTTCATGTTTAGGCTAATAAGAAATATTAAATCTATTTTCAGACAAATTAATGATAGACTAATAAGAGCCCTGCTGCTAGCTCTCACAGGCTGTTGATTAGCCTGAGGTTTGCTCTCCCAGAGCACGCAGTAGAAGGCCTTAGTTCCCATTTCAAAAATCAAGGCAAAGCACTGGGAGTGCAGCTCAGGACAAGCAGGACAGTGGCCAGGAGTGAGCCCTAGTGACAGCACAGGGCTGCTTTGGTCTGGCAGCTCCGCCTTGTCGGAATCTGCAGGGCACAGGGGACAGCCACGGTGCCTTTATCCATAAAGCAGATGCTGATGGCTGACCTTGCATTTAGTGATGTGGAGAAGCCCAGGCAGTGGTTCCTGGGGAGCAGATAGGGGATTCGGCACAGATTTTGGTGAATTCGGGATGCATGTGACACGGTGGGGATGAAGGGCACTGCCCCAGCTGCCCTGACAGTCCCACCTCTGCTGCCCTGCAGGTCTCCAAGTGCCTTGGGCTTTGTGATCCCAGTAGTGATCTTCCCTCCTGCCAGCAAGCATCAGCTCCTATGCTTGGCACCAAGAGAAACCCAAAATAAGGGAGATGCCCATATGCAGGCAGCCCAACTCACTATCATCTCTGTTTTTCACCTCTGAGAATTTCAGATTCAGCTTTTGTCCAGAATTTGTTTTTCTTAACCCTAATGAAAACCCATTTTGTAGTTACGAGTACGTTAAAGCCAATATCAGTGTCAATAAAGACAAGTCCCTTCCCAGGAGAGAGAAAAAAATAGAAAACTGTCTCAAATTTTTCGCTCATGCAGAAGAAAACAACCTCGGAGCACCGAAAGATTAAATGAAAAATATGCCTCTTTTCACTGGGTGTCCACTGGGCGTGAATAAGTGCCAACTGAGCTCTCACTTGCACCACCATCTGGTGCGATGCACCAGGGCCCAGAGCTACGGGGGGATGCACTGGAGTCCCAGTCCTGTGACAGCATCTCTGCTCCTGATGACGGAAACACCAGGGGCTCCGGATCTGGGCGTGCAAAGGACTCTGTTATCGTCAGCTTCACCAGCTGCCCTAGCGCAGAAACGAGAGTCCTGCCACAAGAAAAGGCACAGCCCGGGGGAGCAGAGGAGGCACAGCCCTCCTCCGGCTGCGTGTGCAACCATGGCTAGGGAAAGGGAGCTTTCCCTGAGGGAAAGGCCTGTACCCTCTTCTTCCCGATGATTTGTGTCACTGTCACAGCTTTGAAGGGTGATTTTTTGAGGGTCCCCAATTCTGGGAGGTGGAAAACGTGCCCGAAGTTATTTTTTCTCCATGCTTTATGCAGAAGATGTCTGTCTTGTTGGGTGCATCTTCAAGGCGAGCAGGTGAGCAGTAAAACACCCCAGCACCAGCTCCCTGGGTGTGTGTGTCTGTGTGCTCACCCAGGGACAGACAAATCCACCATTTAACCCCCTCACAAGATGCAGCCAGTGTTTTGCCAGGTAGGAGACACAGTTTAATGACGGAACGCAGCAGGTCATGTCCATGTCACTTTGTTCAGGTCACTTTGCGACCTGAAGGCCTCTTCCAGTCTGGGTGATTTCTAGTGATTGTAAAAGGAGCAATGCAAAAGCCAACAGGCTTTAACTTCTTTCCTTCCATTCTTTCTTCTATCATCACTTCTCTTTTTGTGCTGACCAGCTTGAGAGTTTCAGCGCAGCACAGGAGACTTTGTTAACAACGCCAGAAACAATTTTGTTGGGCTGCAAATGCGTGTAGCCATCACAGTGAATGCCACAGCACTGAGCCTCTTGAGCTCATGTCTGGAAACCGTTTGTGATTTCAGAGCTCCCGCTGATGAATTACCCAGCATCTGGTCACACTGGGAGGGCCAAGCTGATTGTTTTCAACTGCTATATTGCATGGAAGGAGAACCAAAATACTTTCCTCAAGGTAATTGGCTCTAAAACAATTGAAGAATTTTCCACAAGGTTGTAACGCAATTAGGACTGGCATTTTATATAATTTATATCTCTAATGATGCGTTTTTGCCATCACACACTTGTTTTGTGGGGAAAAAAAAAGTGGCAATAAAAGGCAGATCTTGCTGTTACAGGCAAAGGAATATTGATTATACATGGATGTCCTCCTAGCAGTGATTAAAAGTCAGCATATTTTGGAATCATCACTTAGATGTGGTTGTTTGCAGTGTGAAATTGTTGGGTAGGATGCTGTGACACCAATCACACATCTGCAGAGTTCCCGTTTGCTTTTTGGTCAATGCCAAGAGATGTGTCATCGCTCATGCTCTGCTGCAGCGCCGCAACAGCAAAGTAATTCTGCGTTCCCAAATTGCCCTGCCAGCTGGGAGGGGAGGAGATGGAGCAGGCTGCTGATGGTCAGTGCCACCGCACAGAGCACAGCCATCAGCTACCCCCGTGTTTGGGTCTGTGTTTTGATGGCACTCTAAGCAGAGGTGCCAGGCAATGCAAACAGGCAGGCAGTCCCAAAGGGCATGAGTCAGCTGGTGGACCTGATGGCATGGGATACCATGAAGCCAAAAGCATGGACACAGCAGTCCCCTTTCACCACTGGGGAGCCTCTCTTTCTCTGACTATCAAAATAGACTCCCAGGGTAGAACAGTGAAAAGAATTACTCTGCTTGCTTGTTCCCTATACTACACCATATTTTAGTGACTACTGTATAAGATGTGGCACAGGGCCAGGGGGACATTTTGCCTGGCTGCAACAGCTGTGATTGAAATTGTGGCACGAAATGTTTTATCCTCCTTGCCTAGGTAGGGACGAACAGAGTGGAGGAATCATCATTAGAAATGGGCCCGAAATGAAACTGGGGAAATGCTCAATGTTTCCTCAGAGCCAGAGCAGCAGTTTATGGGTAAATGTCCTGTTTTTGCAATGGGATGAACCAAAGCCATAGACTGAATCACCATGAAAAAAAGATCTGGATGTGGTCCCTAATGGTACGGATGCCACTGACTGTATTGTGAGAACAATGCAACGCTACCATAAATGCAGATAATTTCCCTGTCCTTGGTTGTAATCCAGCTGCCTATCAGTACAGTGCATGATTATCAGAAAAGCAAAACCAAGAGTTGTAATGCCATACAAAGCAGGTGTCTGCACTCTTCTGTTATCTACCAGACAGGAAGAAATCATCAGCCACCTCCGTGCGTTGGCTGAAATCACTGAATTGGTTTGCAGGAACCTACCTTGAACAGCTTGAAAGCAGTTTGGAAACCTGGCCTTAGGGTCCTGGACTCCAGAATGGCCAGAGGGGAATATGACCATCCTGCTTGATCCTTTTTACCTTGCAGCAGTCCATGATACAGCATGCATTCTAGTTAGTTTGTAAGTGTAGCCACAATCAGATATACTGCTGTAAGGAAACTGACGCTTTGGGGCTACTTTGGTTAAAACTTCAACAAATGCAGCTTCGTTACACTACAGGCCATCAAAAGGGATACTCACTATTGGGCCGAGTCATTGAGTTGATATTCCCGGGACCGGTTGAAGCATTCCTGGATCCCAGAGTCTGCCCAGAGTCTCATCATAGCTGACAGCAGCTCTGGAGAGAAGGGCTCTGTGTCCTCCATCCGACTTACAACATCGCAGACCATCTTGGCATCAGCCTGCAAAGGAGAGTAACAAGCGGTCACACAGATGCTGGAGGCAGGATCAGGAGCCAGACATTTCAGAAAGAGTTTGTCCAGCAAAGCAGGAGGCTGCACACAGCGGGATGGGGCTGAGGATCCACCCTCCTGCAGAACGGGCAGAAGGAGGATGGAGCAAGGAAACCTCACTCCATAAGGGAACAGGTGCTTGTACAGCCCACCTCATGTCAACACCAATTTCTATTTAGCAGACAGAAGGAAATCCATGTATATACAAGTACATATGTTAGACTGTTACCGAATGCATATGCTGTACTGAATCCCCTTTTACCGAGCACGTAACCTTGCTGAAGCAGAGACCATCTGTATCTCACAGGACAGCAGAAAGGCTTCAGAAGCAGTTCTTTTCAGACGCTGCCTTATTGCTTCTTCTGAATTCCTGCTCTTTCCTATGTGCCCATCTCTGCTCCAGGGCTAACTCATGCTAACACATAACACCTTGGCTGTCTGCACTGCTTTGTGACTCACATGGAGAGGAATCTCCTGTGGTTCGGGAGTATGGTGGGGAGGGCAGGGCCAGCTGGTGACTTTCAGATGCAATCTTTTCTGGTGAGAAAAATCTGATTCACTGGAACAGCAACTTTTCCTGGAGGATATTGCTCTGACACAACTCGGGTCTGGAAGATGTCTCAGATTTAGGATGGGAATGTCTAGACAGCCTCAGAGCAGCTGAGTGCAGCCCTGCTGTAAAAGCCCACAGCGGCCGATGCTTCACTCGTTTCAACTCCTGACCCACAGGTTTGCTTTGCAGTGAGTAGCCCTCCCACCCCCCAGACTCCCAAAATCCCAGGGATGGGATGCTGGCTAACCTGCAGAGTTTTTTTTTCATTGCTTTGTTAACTGAAAAAAATAAAGAATTGGAAAAGTCTCATCTTTCTGCCACCTGAAACAAAACTAATTATTATCATTATAATTAATTGGCAAAGAGGAGCATTTATTCTTTGCTTACAGCAAACTAGTGAAGACAGCCTCCTTGTCTCATTACCTTTCCTTATGTCCCATTGGTAGCTCTCTATTTCTGTTCCCATACATCCCCAGCCCTGTGTCCCACTTGACCCAGCTCTCTGGGCAGCTGTAGGGCTCCTAAGGGACCAGCATCTCTCCCAGCAGCTGGGAGCACTGAGATGTACAAATGGGGAAGGCAACGGGTATGACACAAGCTACATGGTCAGGGCCAAAGCTCTTCTTCTGCAGCTTATATTCATCGAAACTGCTCAAAAATCGCAGGGCACCGAGCTGCTAGCACTGCAGACAGAAGAGTTCAATACTCAGAGGAAGAGCTTCAAGTCCACAGAACATCAAGTCCTCATAGGCTGCAGAAGTCTCAGTACTGTACAGTGACATCATCCCATAAAACTTAATGGGGTGGAGTCTGTGCTTTGAAGTCTTTATGAACATGAAGATGTTTTCACAGAACGCTTAGTATTTTCCTGCCCAGAAATCCTCCTAGCCCTCCATACAGACTCTGCTCGTTCTAGAGAAGCCGTCTTGGTGACTCACACCTCAAAGCCAAGGCAAGCAAAGAACCTTGAAGGGTTCAGTTAATTTCAAAGCTTGTTTTCTGCCCCGGAGTGCTTCGTGAGCCCAGTGAATATTCATAAACCATCAGCAGGGCTTTTCTGCCCTGCTGCAGCTGCAATTCCTCTCCTTGCAGAGGTTCTGAACAACACATAGCCTGATGAAGGCCGGTCAGCTCAGCGCTGCAGGCTGGTTCACAGCACCCCGCTGCCTTCAGATGGACTGTGTGCTTCACAAGCTATCCAAACCATGCTGCAGCAAGCTGCTTTCACTCAGGGAGGGAGCAGTTCTCTCCTGTGTTACCTCGAATGTAGCAGGGGGATTTACAGGTGTAAGTCACAGATCGGCTCATCGGTCTGAGATGGCAAAGCAGATCTGAAGCTCTCCAGCTGTAAAGGACAGGGCCTGGGCTGCTTCTGCCCTTCGTGGACTTAACTGGGGATTGCTTTGCGCCGGGATCAGAGGGAATGTCACAGTCATCACAGTGTGCTGGGAAAGAGCTGCCTCCCTTTTTGCTCTATGGGGATGTGCGGCCGTCCCCTGCGGCGTAATACTCAATGGCTCTGAGCAGAGGATGTTGATGGACGGCAGTGACAGAATGGGAGCTGGCAGGGACAGGCATTGAGGCCACGGTCACCAGGTCTGTGCGGGCCAGCAGTGGGGCTAAGCTTGCTGTGCAAGGGTTGTTCTGAGAGATGCAAATGGAGAACGGCTGCAGTAGCTCTGCAGTCACCAGGAGTCTCATTTTGGGACAGAAAGCCTCCTTTCTACAGTTCAAGAGCTGAGTGCAGGGCATGGAAAGCACAGTGCCCCTGCTAGCACTGTATACACCGCACTGTATACAGCACTGGGTTTTGTTTTGCCGAGCCAATGATCCGACTCTCACTTTTGTGCACCCAGAAAAAGCAGAGAAATGAGTGTTTTTAAAAATACCCCTCTCTTCTCCCAAGGATAAAGCCCCTCTGCCAAGGAGCATGGGCTGCCCATAGGTTTAGGCATTTGTTAGGTTACTTAACGAGCAATTAAGGATCCAAGTAGAGAAGATGCCCCCTTCTCTTCTCGCTCTCCAGGCTGCATCTCACACTGGGAATGACATTAAAACCTCCAGCCCCCCCTGGGCCCAGCAGGTAGGTTTTTAAATACTGCCTGATTGACTTTTCCCTCGCTGCCTCCCCCGGGCCTGGCGCTCCCCCTTTTCCTGAGGTGAGAGGCACTGTGCCTCCTGCCACGCGCTGCGTCTGTACTGAAGCGAGCAATTAAATCAAGCACAACAAACCAGACCAAGAGTCCCCCCACGCCCGCCTCGCAGCTCCCATCTGACGGGGATTCGGCTAATGAATATCACGGTGGTATTTCAGCTACCTCAGGAGCTAAAAATAAGCAGCAGCCTGCCCCTGGGACCGCTGGAAGGAGCCACAAAATGGTGCAGTGCTTCCTCCTCCATCGCTGTCCCTGCACTTCCCTGCCTGAGGTTCGGGGCTGATGCAGGAGCAATGCAGCAACACAGCATGCAAGTAGCATTCACCATCACGCCGTCAGGGCAAGGCTGTGAAGGGTGCCATAATCTCCAAGCAGACTCAATGATCTCAGTGGTCTTTTGCAGCCTTAATGATTCTAGATGACATGCCTCTAAGAGGTCTCGGCCATTGAGTTGTTTCCTGGGTGTCTGGGACAGCTCTGTAGCTGGGTGCCATGGGAATGCCTGGGATGATTTCACCCAGAGCTGCTGCATTCCTGGCTTTGTGCAGAGCTCCCTTGGGCTGGTTCTTGTCTGGTAGAAGTGTACGTGCCCCTTGTGCTTCCCAACACATCACACAGTTACATCCAAAGGCCTGGTGCTCCTCTTAGCAGATCAAACCCTGACCCCAAGCTGTTGTCTTCAAGTTATTCATTACCCAGAGCAGGATTTGTTCAGCTCTGCATTGCTTCCCATTGTGGCTACCTGCAGTGTGGCAAGTGGAGCCACACAGAAGTGGATGTGACTTCTTCACCCTGTGCTACGCATCTATCTTTGCACTGGACACATGGTATGGACTCAGCTCAGAAGAGGAGCTGTTTTCTCACAAACCTGTAACCACAGTAATTTATTTGCCTCCCATATGCCATTACCACCAAGCACACAAGGTGTGTTCAGCAAGCAAACTTATGACTTCACTTGCAACTACCACATATCCCAACTGATTCATCACCTTGCTGGGAGGAAGAGGGGCTCCCCGCAGCACTCAGACATTACCAACAGTCATATCTGTCTAGGAAAACTAGTATTTTTCATCATGCACACGTAGACCAGTCCTAATTATTTGCTGCTCCTCACCAGCTATGATTTGTGCCTGCACAGACCACCAGTGGAGCTGCTTTCAGCCTCGCTGCCCCACCCCTCTGACCATCCCAGGGTAAATCTCAGCGATGACACTTTGAAGCTGTCTGTACATTAAATAGGGGATATTTTTTTCCCACTAAGCAATCGTTTTTGGGACGAGGAGACATTCGGGAAAAGGCACAGACCTATGCGAAGCTATGTGGTACAAATCTGCTAAACTCTATGCAGCTGCACTGACTTCCACCCACAGGAGAGCTGACCCACTGCGACACATTGCACAGCGCTTTCCTTTTGGCAAACCAAATCCCAGTAAATATTATTCTTTGCTGTTATTTACTCTGATTAATCATATTTGTCACTCGGTCTGTCTCAAAGGTTACCACGGGGGCAATTTCCTCTGGTGGCTGGCTGTACTCAGAGCTGCATCTCATAATGTTTCATAAAATCCGTGCGGTGTGGGAAGAAGAGTAAAATAACATTCTGCTGGGAGTAGTGCAAGAAAAAGCAGAGACATGGTGCTAGTTATCAGCAAGGCTGATAACTGCAAAGGGTGCTCCTGGATGGGACCTTCCTGGGGTCCCAGCCCCTTGGGCACAGTGCTGCAGGGGGAGAGAAAAGCAGTCCTGTCACTCGGGGGCAGAATGTGGCTCATAAACCAAAACCCTCCTCCTCAGAGAGCGGCTCAAAAACACGGACCGTGTTTCACAGCTGAAGTGTGGCTGCATCACAGCAGAAGCCAATTATTTTCACAGCATTCACAGCCTGAATGAATGCTGGAAACAAAGCAGAGCTGGTGACTACGCCTCTTCCAAAGACATTCAGGGCCCAGCTCCAAGTCCATAGAAGTTTTTGCAGACATGGAATAAACAGTCACACGTATGGCTCTCCCCCTCACTCAGCCTCTCCTTCTCACACATCTGTTTCAGTGCTGACCTCTGAATCCCTGGAAATACGCTGTGCATTGCAGTACTGACAACCATCCCACTTCTCCCTCTGCCTTCCACCCACCTTCACGTCTCACCCCACCTCTGCCTGGCACCTTGCTTGGGCGCACCAAGGTGAGAAACCCTGCAAGGCGCTGAGCTCCAAAAGCGGCTGGGGCCCATCCACTGCCTTCAAA